TTGCTATGATACATGTAATACATGTGTAAATTGTTGGTCATGTAATGCAGAATAAAACAAAACTTTTTACAATATTGCACTGAAAGAAGGTTCTTTTGTCTCATTACGTGAGACGAAAATTACGTTTATTCAAAACCAACATTCATTTAACATGATATTATGTATGTACCATTAATTTTTGTTGAAATCTTAGTATGCAATACATAAAGTTTTTTTTTTTTAATACGGCTACCCTTAAAGTAAGGGAATACACTGTATCTTGTAGAGATTAAAAAAAATAATAGACATTTAACTATTTTTCATTGTATAGTCGAAACTTCTCATTTTCTTCCTTTTTCATAATATATATTTTTTTTAAATAAAAAAATCGGATTAGGATTAATTTACGTTTTAATATCGACTCTCCTATTCACTTGATTTGTAGATTGGTCCCGTATATTTAATTTTTTTTAAATGTAAGAATTGTAAATATCTTTTATAAAATTACTTAATACATTAATTATCTGCTGAATGTCACTTCTTGAGTATCTCGAATTGTGGTACAATTCGCACGTTAGTTTTAAGATGTATTGATTCATATCTTCTTCCATTTTAATTAAACTATAAATTCATAAAATTAGCATTTACTAATGTTTATTCTAAACTTATATTNATAACTATTTTTATGAATCTGCACCACATATTTTTAAACCTAAATAATTATTTTCTGTACGTTAATTCATTTGTGATCTATCTGGCTTTTTTTTTAAGATACGACTGTTTTTCTAATTTTGGGAGGTTATGTTGTAAGAAAAAGTTTTCGAAGATATTGTCTACGTCCGTATTAATTTTTCAAACATGCCATACTCAATAGAAAATTTTTTTTAATATGTTCTTTTCAAGATACAGTTGAACAACTAAGAAGTTAAGGTAATGCTTGTACATAGTCTAGCCCCTCTTTATTTGTGCGTGTCAATCATGTAGTACTTCTTTAATAAATCTGTAAAAATAGTTATTTAAGGTATATCTAGCTTTTTTTTTGAGATATGACTGTTTTTCGGTTATGAAGAAGTTATTGACAGATTATTCAAAAAATTGTTTCGAAGATTTTGTAAATGTTCATTTCAATTTTTCGTACACGGTGGACAAACGAAAAACTGTTTTTACTTGTTTTTTTCAAGATACTGTCAAAAAAAATAGAATTTAAGTTATGTTTGTGCACAGTTAAACCTCTCTACATTTGTGCACTTTAATCATGTAGATCCTATTTAGGAAACTTGCAGAAATGGTTAGTTTTAGCCAATTTTGCTTCCCTTTAGAGATAGATCATCTTATTCTGTTTTTAAAAGTTCTTATAATATACATATTTAGTATTTCACGTACATTTTTTTCTTACAATAATACATATGGAAGGATAAATACAAAAAAAAAAACAAAAAAACCATTTTCACTATGTTTCTTCCAAGACTTCCACAAGATCTAGCGATGCTTTGTGTCAGACACTAGACACAGAGAAAATCACTGCACCGCACTATTGTGCACATACGAGAGGAAGAGAAAAAGAGAAAGAGAGGTAGACCAACAGATAATCTGCCTGCAACGCAATCAGAACTCGCTGGTATACGTACAGAAAATATATATAAATACTTATGTGCACGGCAGCGTTGGCTCGTTTCACGGGTTATCTCCTTATATAAGTCACACCTAAGGAAGCTTCATTTTAAAAATCATCGCTGGGCCGAGCATCAGGCAGAGGACAGGAGTGAGCTGGTGGGCAAATTACTGGCACACAAACACGAGTTATCTGAATAGATTTGCACTTTATTTATCCTTTTTCTTAATAGCTAAACTAAGTGCATGCAGCATTTTAAAAGTTGGTACGAATAACACCACAGGCATGAGTTACCAAATCGCGGCAATCAGAAACGAGGCGTACACAAAAAAAGACCTTTAGAAACGTTTGTCTTGGGTGCCGGGTAATCCTTTTTTAAGCTGCTTACGATGCCTACAACTCACGAGTATAGCTGACGTGATGGGCGATTAGTGGAAACTGATGGTCGATCCCGATGAAGCCCGGAACGCTTCAAACGTAAACGGCCTCAACACAATGCTATAAATACACGAAGCTCGATCACACCACTTAAAATTGTCTAGGTCGTGTATGTTATGGCTACTGTACTGGTCCTCATGCATCAAATACGCGCGTTAATAAGTCAATGTTGTGATGGTAAAGTTGCTAAGCACCCAATATTGCAGGTAATAATAATTATAGTACTTATGCCAGAGTTAGATGCTTTGTTTCGCGTACAAAAATCAAGCGTGCTTATTTACTTGTAAATTATGATAAACAAGGTCAATGGTACCAAGTATTTATGTGTTTGGAATTGTAATGCGCAGTTCTTTTATGATAACTTTGTTGATGTATTTGATTTTGCTTCGACCCATAGAGTGCAGGCTATGGTCACACGTAAGTCTCTTCTGAAACCGAATCATAATTTTACGTAGTGTAGCATCACACACTACTATTTTCTACGCAATTATTGGGTTTGTCAAGGGGTTGGTAGAGATATTACGCATGTACATAAGTTTTTAAGGTCGGAGATTGTTGCATTATCGTCTGAATTTTTTCTCAATGTCGTTCGTGCTAAATATCTTTTCGTAGAACTGCAAATGGGGTCTTTTAAAGTCTTTTGCGTGCTGGTACATCATCTACTATAGGCTGGATAATCGTGTGAAGCTTTTAAAAATGTGCTATGAAACTGTTATAGAGCCTGTTACCAACTAAACCACAGACTGGCTGCCGGTCGGGGAAGGAGCGCTACTAACCCGATGCGGTACGTTCTCGGCCGATGCAAGTGGGTCGAACGGGCCTGGGTAGTAACGGGGAACGGCTGGCCTACCCCGGATGCTGGTGCATCGGGACTGTAGAGGGCTCCTTGGGTACTTGCATAGTATCACGCATAAGGAGGCGCTAGGGACCGCTGTGGGGGTAGGAGGTGAGTACAGAGCAAGATCCGCTCATGCCTTCTACCTGGTTGGTAACAAGGCTCACTAGCGCGATTGCGGTGATGATGTCAATGTACGGGTCTGGGGCTGAGTCAGACTTGGCTGCCAAACCAACCCAGTGTGGCGGCTTTCCAGAGTAGGTTTGATTGGGACTCGTTCTGTGGGGCCACATGGGGCAGGCGTTCGGTCGAACTTGCTTTGGGATTGCTGGAGATCCCACACTTAAATGCTTAAACATTTGTACTAGATAGTAAGTAAATAGCGATTTAAAATGCGCGCCAAGATTTGTACGGCTTAATGAACACAATATATATAGCGATAAGTGCAACCAACTGAGTGGGACTAGCGGGCGCGTTGTGAGCGCTGTCGTCGAACAACCTCGGAAATAGGGCAAGCGGAGGCGCTGAAACGAGCGGGCAGTCGACAATCGACTACTGAGGCGATAGGTAGGTGTGCCACTCAGTCCGGTCCTTTTATCAATCACCTTTCATTAAATAAAGAGATAATAAATATTAATGCAAATTCCCGTTTCATTTGTTTTGCTCTGACCCTGCTTCCCTGTCTGCATCTTGACCTTCACAGAGCTTATGGTAGTATTTATCTACATAGTATTTTTAATACAGACTGGTTTTCTACTCTTTCAATTACACACACATTGGTAAACTTATTTCAAGCTACTAATCTTAAACACTAACCTTTTTATCAAGCTTATCATATAGGTTATCTCTTCTTAACAACGGACAACTATTGCCTTATTAATGATTCCAATTTGTTCTTTTATCGGCAGTACTTTTATTTGTAGCACAAAACTACTTTTAAGTGCCCTGACATTGATTTCAATGTGTCACTATACTCACAGTATTTTCTTTATGTGTATGATAATCACGCTCGTTCACATACTCATCCCGTTTGTTCAGGAAACCCTATGCCCTGAATGATGGTGGACTTACATAGAATTTTAAAAGCACAAAATGCTGCTTGCCGCGTCTCACAACAAATATATATTTACAATTAAAACAATAAGATTTTAAATTTTGTATGAGGGGATATAACAACATATTACACCATTGATCATGCTTTTAACAAGGAGGTTGACAAATCTGACACTTACATTCATATACATTTTTTCATCAAATTTAAAAACAATAATCTTTTTGACTTGAAAAGGCTCCTACCCAAAGAGGAGAGAAACGTCGTCAGGGGATATAATAAAAAATTATACACAACAGCAATAGCGATTGGTTTTATTATTTGATGAATTTCGTCTTGCTCGCTATTGTTGGAGTCATAAACATCACAATATGCTTGATTTTGACAAAAAAGTCACTTTTTAGACCCAATTTAGATACCTTATTTAAAAAAATAAAGAATACATGGGAAATAAATATTAAGGTATAATACCAGCTCTTTAAAACTTATTTTCCAACAGAAAAAAAAAAAAAATTAAATTGAAAAATTTCTGAAATAATCCGAAATTTATAGATTAGGATTTTATTTTTCACATTCCTCCTTAATTTTCTGTTATTTCTTGTTATCATACCTATAAGATCCAAAAACTTTCATGGAAAAATTTCTTTTAAGGAAGTTTACATAGTTTTGAAACAAAAAATATCAGTTTAACCCACTATGCCATCCGTTTAAAACAATTTTGAAATACAAATTATTACTAAAAACTTTTTAGATTTTTTAATATTAAAAAAACTTATATTAAGAGTATTTTATTGAAAAATTATTATGATTTATACGAGTGTAAATTTTTTTATAACTTTTTTTCCATACGTTGCTGTTTCTAAGGTAGAACGTTCAATACTTAATATTTTAACTACTTATTATATTTTTTTCTGTATCCTTCGAACATTAAACAAAAAAGAGTATGTACTCAACTAACAATAATTTTTTTTACAATGCTTTGACTGATAGATAATGTTTGTTAGTTTCATTGAAATTCTATTACCTTCAAGACTATCGTATCGAGTCAAATGATAATAAACTAAATACAATTTTATAACACTTACGTGAAACTGAAGCCTATCACCCTGCTGCTGGGGGTCACCAATGTAGAACGAATCAGGTGGTGGTGAAGGTGGTATCATTGACTGATACCAGTCTCGGTTCTCTTCAAGGGTATCCAGTATTTCTTGAGCGTCTGGATGAACAAGATCAGCCCAGGTTTCCCAAAGTGGGTGGACGATGTAATCGATGAAGCCAACCTGCGACTTCTGGACGGTGGCATTGTGTCGGTCACACATCGGACTTATGTCCATATTTTGCTCACGTTCTCGATCACCCTGCTGGAAAAACTCCTCCATTAAGAGATCAACCCAACGTCGGTACAGTGCTAGTGGCTTAGTTGGGTTCGATAGATCTGCGCAATGCACCAGGTTCTCCAGCACCTAAAGAAACAAGTTTTACCTTTATTTGCTTCTTATAAACTTTTTTAATCCCTTTTGTTCTCTGTCTTGTTGGGAGAGCTCAATATTTTTTATAAAATAAATTATATTGAAATGATTCTGAACCTTTTTTTCAGAAGTAAAGCATGAAAGTCTATTCTCAATAATAGTCATTGTTGTACCTAAGGACATACACAGAAAAAAAATGTAGTACTTTTTCCGTGAATTTTTAGTTGCTGCTTCTACGTAACTGTAAGTTAGAGGGTTGGTGTTACGTTGGCTACGCCTATATTAAAGTTTCTGCTATATTGTGTAAGAAAGCTAGCTTTTAGTCAAAAACCTAATTGATGTTAGCAATGTTACAACATTAAATGTACAGTATAAGTTCGTTCTTTCATTTGGAGAAAAATGTAAGTACAACATTTTTGCACTTTAAACAGGAGAAAACAAAAATATGTTGGGAACATTTATAACCTTTAAAGAACCTTTCTTCTGTGCTGAAAGTTCAGCACGCACTCAGAAAATTTTAAACAAGAAACTATTGAGCTGCGTTTGGAGACAGTTAATGTAGTTTTTTATTTACAATGAACAATTGATAAATATTCTTACGTAGTTATTGTTAGAGCTCATGTAATAGCACTTTCTAGCTGCGTATGGACATATACATAGTTTTGTTTTATGGGTACTTAAAATTTTGTGCTGTTATCACAGCATAACGTGAAATTTACTTTACACAATTAGTCAACCATCTTCAAAGTCATGTACTAGCTGTTACTAAATAACCATTGTTACAGTGACTGCTTTTTTCTCTCAGAGTAAGTTTATAAATAAAAGTTTGGTAGCACGAATATGTGTATGTACAGATTTCTGAATTTATATTTATAGATATAAGCATATACATCTTTCTATATAACGCAGTCAATTTAAAGGGTCATTCCACACGACCTCTCTCTACCCGTTTTAGCCACTTATCAGCTCCCCTCCAGATAGTGTTAAATTCTGATGTTCTTACCTCATTTTTATTGAGTCGGATTGTTGTTTATCTCTCCTTTACCTTTCTTCCTTCACCCTTGGTCCCCACCTGATTTTAAAAAGCCTCCCACAGCCTCCCTGCCAACCCCCTCAACACCCTACTCAAGAAACAAAAATTCTATTTATTTCGACCTCCCATCTACTTTCCCTCAGTCCCCCTTTCAACTATATAACCCGATAACCAGATAACCTTATAAACCACCGTCCGAATTTTAAAGAACTGCCTTTAGCCACATTCTAGCTGTATCTCTAAATGAGGTAAAATAATGTCGGTTATCATGTCATTTTTAGTAAATTACTTTTTGTGCCCCCTCTCCTAATTCCGATTTCCTTGCACTTTTTAAGAAACCAACCTTAGCCCTCACACAATTTCTAAGCACACTATCTGAGCAAAGCTCCAATATTTGTTCTAGGCCTTTTAAGCCACTTTACACCGCACTTTTGATAACAATTTATCTTTATAATTTTTAACACATTTTTACACCACAATTTAGTAGGCGCAGTGCTATGGCGTGCTAGTTTTATATCTTAAATTTTAAATAAGCTTTTAAATTTCATTATTTTATGTCAACACAACAATTGTTCCAATTTATAAACTTAGCTTATGCAGAGACAAACTTTAACAATGTTGTTTTTAAATTTGATGAAAAAATTTATGTAAATATAAGTGTCAGATTTGTCAACCTCCTTGTAAGAAGCATGATCAATGGTGTAATATGTTGTTATATCCCCTCATACAAAATTTAAAATCTTATTGTTTCAATTGTAAATATATATTTGTTGTGAGACGTAAGTATAACGTTATTTGCTAGAAACTTCAGATCTTTTCTAAAAATATTGTAATGAACATCAGATATTTTTTATTTATTTGGCACTGATAATAATTAAAATTTTTCTTTCTCCAATATCGCATGATAATTTCAAAAAGGTTTTGTCAATTAAAAGTATATTATTATTAAGTTTTATAACACAAAACAGTGATAAAAGATATAACAATTAAGTACTAATTTAATACTTTTTTGTATAATCATGCTTTTATTTTTTATTCAAAACAAGTAAAATTTATATACTATTTCGTGCTAAAACAATTAATTTACTGCAAAAACAGATATTTGCATAACATAAATCACGTGATGTTTTTTCAAGTATTTGTAGGGCATTTTTGAAAAATTTTTTTCGGATATTGAATGTAGCTGTAATAGAGATATTTTTTTTTTAGTTTTTAAAAATCCTTACTGAAAAATTACTTAAATTTTTTCTATCCTTTTTTGCATGCAATGTTTCAGTTATTCATAACTTGGCTTACGTGGAAAAGTTTCTCAATTGGCATGGCAGTATAACATTATATGTTTCATTCAAAATATAATAAGCTTAGGGATCATGTTTCAGTGAACCTAAAGTAACAGCCACATTTTTAATGTACTATCAAGTATTATGTCAACTGTTTTTAGTATTTAAAATATTTTAAGAATATTGACAACGTAAATTTTGTTGTGCTAAACTAAGGGAATATAAAAGACCAGAATTTAATCGGTGTAAGCGTGAAAAAATATTTTTACCAGCTTTATATCTATATGATAATAAATTAAAGCATCGACTTCTAAACAACAATAATTTTTGATATTATATTCAATATCACAGAAATCTTTTTTCTTGTGCATCGTTTAGTGCCAATGTCATAAATATAAAAAATATATAATAGATAATTTTAAAATTCAAGGTCAAGTTTGTCACATAATACCTTAATCTATAATAAACTGTTGTAATAATTCTCTTTACAGTCAATTGTATATACATGAGCGCGTGGTGGCTCAGTCGACTAGGTCATGGATTATCTTACGGGAGACCGTGGTTCGATTCCCAGCCAGTGCGACTTTTCGAGCAAGTGCCTCTGAAATTTTTCACATGTGCTTTTTCACCACGCAATGCTCCTTGAGGAGGGCTTAGGCAACCTACTCGCAACAAAATTTGCTTAATTTCCCCGCTACCCCCCTCCTTTCATGGGAGGCCTCCCATCCCCTTCCTTGTTCCTTTCCCAAGTGCCCATAGAAGTGCCCTTATTAAAGGAGCCGGACGTAGAGCACTATAATATAAAAAAAAAGATTATACGTACATGATTACTGAACTTCTATAAAAAAAAGTTTTCCAAAATAGTTAATTTTTGTAAGTTTTTGTTTTTTGCTCATAAAATTTTCATTTTTATTTGCTCCATGTGTGGACCAATTCATTTTTCTGAACTATAGTTTTTTGATCTTATTTTACTACTTGTGACACTAAAAATGTTTCGTTTTTTTCTTACCACGAGCACAAACTGTAACTGCCACTTTACGCCCTCAGGCTTTACTTTTGGCTCTGGTTATAACCTTAGGCCCACGGGTAGAAAAACGTTTGCACCCATCGGACCCGAATTCCTTTGTGTCCTAGGGCCCTAAATGATTAACGGGATGCAAAGTGTGCTCACGGGCACAAAACTTTATTTTGCACCCTAGAAAAAAAAAATTCTACGATCTGACTCAGGCACAAACATACAACAACCATACCGCTTGTGCACTCATGTTTGTACTTTGTGCCCCATTTATTTTATGTACCATTATAAAAAATCGTAATATTTATATTATCTTGCATTTTTTTCAAGTTATGATAATTTTTGTTTATAATTCTCGTTAGATTTTCTTAAATTCTGATATTATTATGTTGGAACAAGTCGTAGTGCCCGCTGTCATTTTTGCCAAATTAAGGGAGAAATTGACATAGTTTTTCTATACTATGTGGTAGCTGTGAGGGATGAAGAGTCAACAAGGGTCAGTGATGGTTGTGGCAGGATATAAGAGGTTTGTGTTAAATTTTCTGTTAATAACTATATAGTATCGAAATATATACACACAAATAGGACTTCATCCCATTGCAAGCTCCGTGTGCCAACCCCCAATTTATGATTTTGTTGAGTACTTAATTCTTTCAGTTTGCTTTTTTAATTTAAAGAAATAAAAAAATCTTTGTAAAGTAGTTAGAGAATTGAAACAGGAGCAGTGTTAATTTAATAAATACCTTTTTTCTTACTTTCAAAGAAATATTCAAAGAAAAAATAAAAATGAGAAAAATGGTGATTATACTCTCTGGCCGTAATGAATCTCTCTGAACGTGAATCACAATTTTTAAAATAATATGCAAACAAACAGATAACTTTTTTCTTATTAATGGCCCAGGAGATTCAGAAAAAACATTTCTATACAAAAATTATATCTATGGTATGGACTTATATAACATTAGCATTAGTTCCAGAAGGAATCATCAGTCATAGAACATTTAGTTTACCATTGGACATGTTTGTTCCGATATTCTTGGTAGTGATATCAACTTTTTAATAAATAGCTATTAATAAGAAAATTCCAAATTCTATAAAAAAAAAAATAAGTCATATTACGGCATAGATTATGCTACTAACAAGTGTTAATGAATCTGTTTATAACATTTATATCAATTTTTCAATTGAATTTCTAAACGATTTTCATGAAGGTTTACCACTACATGATCTTAATTAAAAAATTAGAGCAATTGTTGTGTTGATCCAAAATTTAAGTATAGTTGATCGCTTGTGTAATAGAACGAGATTACAAATTGAAAAATCACTTAGATACAATATTGGAGAAAAAATTATAACTTAAAAAATAAACGGATGAAAAAATTTTGTACTAAAAATAAATCTTAATACAGAAAACTTATCATCATTACCTTTTATTTTATACAGAAGGCAATTTTCTTTAGCCGTAGTGCTTTCAATCACAATCAATAGATGTCAAGGTCAATATATTAATACTATTGGATAATACTTGAAAAAATTACTGTTTCTGCATGGTCAATTACACATTGCGTTATTAAGATAAAAAAATAAAAATTAAATTTACACCGTATGAGATTTCTACAGGCTGCAAAACCAGCATAGTTGGCATACTGTAGCAAAGAAAAAAATG